CCGGCCTGTCACCGGGGCTGTGACATGCTCGGTTGTAAATGCTACACGGCGGGGTCCAGAATGCGTAGTCCATCTACTTAATAGTCCTTGACTGCACCGCTGCAGCGGAGTGCGCTGCGCTGAGGACGGCGGACCGGACAGGCGAGCGAGCGCGGCCTGGCCCGGGGCTCTAGCCGGCGGCTCTCGGCTAAGTCCTGGGAGTCGTTCAAAAATTTACTTATTTCAAGATACATATAGAAATGATCGGCGTTTCACACACTGCAAAACAAGCCCCACTTTGCAGATGCATTTTTTAAAAAGTTAATGGTGTTCAAAGTAATTCGTGTTTGGTATTATTGGTTTTAGCAATTAATTTGCTGTTTGTTTCTGAAAGCATAATTTTACATAATATAACAGAAAATTGACAATTATAGATAGAGTGCAAGTAGTGCGCATGAAAAGACTGCGACTACAATAGGGTGGAAAGGCTCCGTCGGGGCTCCGTCGGGGCTCCGTAGGTAGCAGGCCATAGGTCCCCCCGGCCCCCACCCCCACCTCCCTCTCTTTCAGCGAGCCATCATGACAGGTGTCATATTGATGTTGTGACACTGCGCCCCTGCGCGCCCTGCGCCCTGGCCCCAAGCTCGCAGGCTGGGGTTTGTCGTGGTTCACAATACGGCTAGACCGTAACTTCTTTGGCGTTCATAATTTTCAATGTGATAGAACAAATATTGAACTACGATGGCGTATAAGCATATTTGTAGTCTAACCCATTTTTGAGCATCAAGACTGGTTAGCACGCACTGCTAAATTCGTCCAAAGATAAACTCGCCAGCGATTTCCAAATGTCCCCCCCCCCCAAAAAAAATGTGTATTTGAACAACTTGCGTGAACAGGGGTTTGCGGTGTGACACGTACACCACGGCTAAACAGTTTTTTTTTTTTTATTTATTTGTATTTTGCTAGGCGGTAGATCAAATATTGGGCTACAATGCCATCTAACTCAATTTTCTGTCAGCTCAGAACGTGTTGTGAGGCTCCCTGTAGCGCGCGCGTGTTCTTGAATACTTCAGTGTGTGTGTGTGTGTGTGTGGCCATTGTCCCATCATCCCGCAAGACCTACATCAGCATCTCAATGAGAAAACGTTAAAGAAGTCACAATTTGAT